TGAGGTGTCTTTGGGGGGGTTTGAAGAGGTTTAGGGGGGATTTGAGGAGGTTTAGGGGGCATTTGAGGAGGTTTAGGGGGCATTTGAGGTGTCTTTGGGGGGGGTTGAGGAGGTTTAGGGGGACTTTGGGGTGGTCTGGGGGGGGATTTGGGGGGTGTGAAGATGATCTGAGGGGGCTTTGGTGGGACCTGAACCCCTCCATAGGGTGGTGGGTGCCCCAAGGGGGATGTCCCCAATCCAGGGGGTCTCTGACCCCACAATAGGGCAATGGGTGCCCCAAGGGGAGTGTCCCCAATCCAGGGGGTCTCTGACCCCCCAGCGAGGTTGTGTCTGCCCCAAGGGGGGTGTCCCCAATCCAGGGGGGCTCTGACCCCACAAATAGGGTGATGGGTGCCCCAAGGGGGGTGTCCCCCCTCCAGGAGGGCTCTGACCCCCCAATAGGGTGGTGGCTGCCCCAAGGGGGGTGTCCCCCAATCCAGGAGGTCTCTGACCCCACAAATAGGGTGATGGGTGCCCCAAGGGTGATTCCCCCAATCCAGGAGGGTTCTGACCCCACAAATAGGGTGGTGTCTGCCCCAAGGGGGGTGTCCCCCAATCCAGAAGGTCTCTGACCCCCCAATAGGGTGGTGGCTGCCCCAAGGGTGACATCCCCCCCTCCAGAAGGGCTCTGACCCCACAGTGGGATGGTGGCTGCCCCAAGGGTGATGTCCCCCCCTGTAGGAAGGCTCTGACCCCCCAGTAGGATGGTGGCTGCCCCAAGGGGGGTGTCCCCAATCCAGGAGGGTTCTGACCCCACAGTGAGGTTGTGTCTGCCCCAAAAAGGGTGTCCCCCAATCCAGAAGGTCTCTGACCCCACAAATAGGATGGTGTCTGCCCCAAGGGGGGTGTCCCCAATCCAGGAGGGTTCTGACCCCGCACTGAGGCCGTGAGTACCCCAAGGGGGGGTGTCCCCCAATCCAGGGGGGTTCTGACCCCACAAATAGGGTGATGGGTGCCCCAAGGGGGGTGTCCCCCAATCCAGGAGGTCTCTGACCCCACAATAGGGCAATGGGTGCCCCAAGGGGGGTGTCCCCCAATCCAGAAGGTCTCTGACCCCCCCTCCCCGCCGTGTCCCCGTGCCCAGGTGATCGTGGAGAACGGGGAGCTGATCATGGGCATCCTGTGCAAGAAGTCCCTGGGCACGTCGGCCGGGTCGCTGGTGCACATCTCCTACCTGGAGATGGGCCACGACACCACCCGCCTCTTCTACAGCAACATCCAGACCGTCATCAACAACTGGCTGCTCATCGAGGGTCAGAGGGGGGGGTTTTGGGGGGGTTTGGGGGGATTTGGGGGGTTTTGGGGGGGTGGGACCCCTCCTGGGGGCACCAAAGGGGGGTTTGAGGGGCACAAGGAGCTTCTGGGAGCTCAACCTTGAGGGGACTTGGGTGTCCATGGGGGTTCTTGGAGCTTCTTTTTGGGGCAACAGGGGCTTGGGGGGGCCCTTAAATCCCCTTTTTGGGGGATTTGGAGGGTCCATGGGGGGTGGGACCCCTCCTGAGGCCACCAAAGGGGGGTTTGAGGGATGTGGGGACCTTCTGGGAGCTCAGCCTTGAAAGGATTTGGGTGTCCATGAGGGGCTCTTGGACCCCCTCGTTGGGGCCAGCAAGGACTTGGGGGTGTTTGAACCCCCTTTTTTGGGGGCTCTGGGGGGGAGTCTTTGGGGTCCCCAGGAGGTTTGGGACCCCCTTTTTTGGTGGGACCTTCTGGATCCCACTCTGGCTTGTCAATGGGGGGGAATCTCCTGGAGCCTGCAAGGACTTGGGGGGGGGTGTCCTTGTGGACCCCTTTTGGGGGGTCTTGGAGGGGTCTCGGGGGGACATCCCCCCCCCCACAAAGTTCCCAATCACCCCAAGCCCCCCCCGACATCTCCCGGGGTCTGGATGGGGTTTTTTTTTGGGTGGGGGCACCAGGAAGGGTCAGAGAAGGACCCCGAGTTGGGGGGACCCCCCTGGGGTGAGGGGGGGGAGGACCCTGAGTTGGGGGGACCCCCCTGAACCCCCCCCCCTTGACCCCCCCCCCCCCCCCCCCCCCCCCCCCCCCCCCCCCC